CAGAGAGAGAGGGAGACAGATTCTGAAGCAGGCTCCAGGCTGTGCACTGTCAGCACAGAGCCCGACGTGGGACTCGAACTCACAAAGGCGAGATCATGACCTGAGCCGAAGTCAGATGCTCAACTGACTGAGCCACCCAGGCACCCCCGATCTTGTAATTTTTGATTGATTGCCAGACATACAGGCTGAGATAAATTTTTGCCTGGAAATGTATACACTTATCCTTCTAATAGGGTAATGTGTGAGGTTGAGTTGATCTTATCAGGAGCTGAACTGGTTTCGTTGATACGATTACCTTTGTTTATTACAGGTTTTAAATTTCTCTGTGCCGTTTTGTGTTCATGGTAAGGTGATTTTCCAGAGAGTTTTTCTCAGTAGCCCTGCTTCCTTCCGCTGTAGTACTTCCCTTTGAGCCTGTGCTGTGGAGAGGCTCTGTCTGTGCTCTTGCTGCTTCCCCAGAATTAGGCTGCTGTTGCTGTCCATGTGGTGCTTGCTGATCTAAAGGGTGGGAGAGCATTCTTTATTGTCTTCATACAGCCTCAAATCTCAGAACTGTCAGGCTCAGGCTTTCTCAGGGATCCTGCTCTTTCCCCAGGAGAGTAGAGGGATTTTTCTTTCACCCTTCCCCAGACTCAGTGGGTCTTTACCTGTATCTTATGGTCAATAGGGTTTATAACCCATACTCTGGCCCCTTAAGGCTTTTGCTCCTTAGAGGAGAAATGACTGGGTGAGACTTCACGCCTTTCCTGATGCAGGAGAGCTCCCCTCCTCTAGGCGCATACCAGCAAGGAAGGCTTTCTCTAGTCTCCTGCTCTGCCTCCATCTTTCTTGTGAGCAGCTAGGAAGGTTCATGGAGAAGAGTCTGCAAGCTGATGCAAAGTCCCCTGATGTCTGCAGCTCCCACGGGTTCTAGACTCACAGGCTAGCCCACACAGTGCTTTTAAACAATTTGGTGATAATTTTGTCTGAATGAAGGCCTTGTCTTCCTCCTATTGCCATCAGTAAGCCAGTACTTATGTCTTGTCTTCCCTTGGAGGCCCCTGTCTTTCCGTAAAGTTCAGGCCAGTTTGTTGCCCAGTGACCTCAGTTTTCTGATGAATTTTTTTTGAAGTTATGATTTTTGTAGATTATCTAGCTTTTTTCTTTTTTTATATATATTTTTTTCTTCTAATGTTAATTTTTGAGAGAGAGAGAGAGAGAAAGCAAGCGCACAAACGGGAGGGGCAGAGAGAGAGGGAGACACAGAATCCGAAGCAGGCTCCAGGCTCTGAGCTGTCAGCATAGGGCCTGATGTGGGGCTCGAACTCACAAGCCCTGAGATCAGGATCTCAGCCAAAGTTGGATGCTTAACTGACTGAGCCACCCAGGTACTCCTAGCTTTTTTTTTTTTTTTCATGTTTATTTATTTTTGAAAGAAAGAGAGACAGAGTGTGAGTGGGGGAGGGGCAGAGAGAGAGGAAAACACAGAATCCAAAGCAGGCTCCAGGCTCTGATCTGTCAGCACAGAGCCCAAACATGAGGCTCAAACTCACAAAACCGTGAGATCACTGACTGAGCCACCCAGGTGCCTCTCCTAGCTTTTTTTCTTATTGTTAGGGTGGAGGGGAATGACAGGCTAGATCCTGGAAAACCTGAATGCCTACTGATGGTATGGGTTTGTATTCTGAAAGCATTAAGGAGCCATAAATCCATAGCTTCAGTGGGTACTTACCACCAAACCTCTTTCTTTTGGCAACAGTGGATCAAGAACAGTTAATAACACATGGGCTGAAGTACCTCTAAACATTGTCATGTTAAGTCTATAGTAGTACCCAACTGTGTGTAGGAGGGGGCTGCTGAATATCTAATCTGTCCACATATTTTGCTTCCAGTCAGGTAGCACTGATGTTGCAGAGAGTCCTGAGCACTGGAAGAAAGTCTGGGACAACTGGAGGCTGCTGACAATGGCGGGGATCTTTGACTGCTGGGAGCCCCCAGAAGGAGGAGACCTTCTGTATTCCTACACCATCATCACAGTAGATTCCTGCAAAAGCTTGAATGACATTCACCCTAGGCAAGTCACAGATCTTATCCCTGGGTCCAAAAGGATTCAGAGGAAGATTTGTTTCCTGCTTTTAGATAGGTAGCTTTTGGATTCAGTGTTTCTGTATGCACAAATTTTTTTTTTTTTTTTAACATTTCTTTATTTTTGAGACAGAGAGAGACAGAGCATGAACGGGGGAGGGTCAGAGAGAGAGGGAGACACAGAATCTGAAGCAGGCTCCAGGCTCTGAGCAGTCAGCACAGAGCCCGACACGGGGCTCGAACCCACAGACAGTGAGATCGTGACCTGAGCCGAAGTCGGACGCCCAACTGACTGAGCCACCCAGGCGCCCCTGTATGCACAAATTTAGAGAGTAGCAGTTGTTTTGCAAAATACAGTTATAGTCAGTTTCGCTATGACATGTGTTCCTAAAAGTCACACTATGCAAAACTGTACAGTGTATACCCAAGAACTTATGAGAAAAGTGGGGTTTTAAGGGGCAACACCTAAAAATTGGTCAGGAACACATGAAGAAATAATAGGGATCTGTATATTAAAAACAGTACTATTGTTGTCTATGTAGATATTACATTAAATATGGCACTTTACCTTAGAAAAATTTGCTTCTGGAAATGAGTGTTGGAAAAGTTGTAGCTTATGAGCTATTATGAAATGAAAGGAAGATTATTTAAAATTTATGATCTTTTGCGGTCTTAAATCCTGGGCATGTCTTTCTGCCTTTGAAGTGTTGTTCCTTCAAGACATGGATTTATAATAAGTATGTATTTAATCAGAATTGAACAATTTGATCCAACGTATAGCCTCCTCCTGCAATTAACTTCTGTATCACTGCTGAGAAAATTATTCCTAACATCTTCTGGGTCCCAGGAGGCATCTTAGGCAGCCATTTTGCCTTCTGAGGCATAGGCATAGTTCACAATTATGGGAATAACTCTTTCTTACTGTAAATTTAGAGATTAATATTATAAAAGTTTTCCCTTTAATTTCCCTTTAATTCTTGGCTGAGGCATCGTGGGAAGTTTACCAGTTGGTTAGCATGTACACTGGAGTGCTCTGGATCCAGTCATAGCACCGTTCACTGTCTTTGCCATAAAACTGTGTAAGCTCGTTCTCCTCGTGGTGAATTTCGTGCCCTGTCAAGTTGTGGTCAAGGAGCACATGGCAACAATCAGCATGTGAGGTGCAGAGGAAGGACGAGCTTCTCCTTAGGATGATTTGTACTGACTCAAGTCTCCCTTCTGTCCCTACCCTCACTCTACTCTACCTGCCAACTAATGTCTCTACCTCACTGGCTAGGATGCCTGCCATATTAGATGGAGAGGAGGAAGTCTCTAAATGGCTTGACTTTGGTGAGGTCTCAACTCAGGAAGCTCTGAAGTTAATCCACCCCACAGAGAATATCACCTTCCATGCAGTCTCTTCCGTGGTGAACGACTCCGGGAACAACACTCCTGAATGTGTGACTCCTATCAGCCTACTGGTCAAAAAGGTAGGGGCCTGTGATTCTGACAGTCCTTTCTGAGCTTTCTGTCTTCTGTCAAGATATCTTTTTCTTTTAGGATACGGCCTTTCCCAATTAGCTTTATGTTTTTTTAACTTATTTATTTATTTATTTATTTTTATTTATTTTTTTGAGAGAGAGAGAGAACAGTGGGGCTCACCCGAAGCAGGGCTCGAACTCACAAACCTAAGCCGAAGTCAGATGCTTAACCGACTGTGCCACCCAGGCACACAACAATTAGCTCTAATTTAAAACACCCAATGCTCACATTTCCTTGGGTATGGCAAGGTTGAACAGAGCAGTGATTCTCCAAGCTGGCTGTGACTCAGACTCCTCAGGAGAGCTCTTTCAAAATGTAAATGCTGGATCCTACCTAGACCTATTGAGTCAGTGTTCAAGGCTGGGCTTGGGCTTCTGTGTCTTTAAGAAGCTTCTTAAGTAAGTCTGATAAGCCAAGTTTGAAGATTCCTAATCTAGAGGGTGATTATAAGAAAGACAAAGGAATCCTTGTCCATAATTGTGTCTTTGCCTCCCAGCTGTGTAGTTTTTTTTCTCTTTTCTGTATCTGCTTTCCCAACTACAAGTTGGAGGAGTTCCAATCCTTGTACTCCTTTAGGAGGATTTGAGAACATTCCTGCCCTGAACTTTAACTTTTTAGAATTGGCAAGGATCCAGTTGTATTTTCAAGGGAAGGTGAGCAGACCAAAGGCCTCCAGTGGGAACAGAAGTTCCAGAGCAAAAAACTGGCTTTTGCCAATATTTGGTGATGAAGATTTAGGAGTAGCAACTGTTTCCAGGTGGCACAGAGGGACTTAAGTAGGACATGGCTGGGTGCCTGGGTGGCTCAGTCAGTTGGGCGTCCGACTTCGGCTCAGGTCATGATCTCGCAGTCTGTGAGTTCGAGCCCCGCATCGGGCTCTGTGCTGACGGCTCAGAGCCTGGAGCCCATTTCAGATTCTGTGTCTCCCTCTCTCTCTGACCCTCCCCCGTTCATGCTCTCTCTCTGTCTCAAAAATAAATTTAAAAAAAAAACGTAAAAAAAAAAAAAAGTAGGACATGGCTGAGTGTTCCAAGAATAGACATCTTAGAATGCCTGAGAAGTGTTAAGGACAATGATTACAAAACAGCTCCCCCCCCCCCATTTTTATTCAGGTTTCTACGTTTTCCATACTCTGTGTCATCTTTTTCGTTTGTTGCAGTTCTTTGCTAACTCCTGCAACCCTGATCTTTTATTTCTTAGCTGTCTCTAAAAATGTAATGATACGCATTCATTTTGTACTAGACTCTGCCCCATTTCTGTCATGGTCTTTACTCCTGAAGAACTCCCATTTTGGAGAGGTGGCATTATGCAAATTCAGAACCTTCAGTTCAGCGTTGGGGTGCAGGTGTGAGAGAGCAGGAGGGAGCAGGCTGGTCAAGGAGAGGCTGCCCAGCGGGGAAACAAGTCAGCCTGTTCAGCCTTAGCTGAATCCTTAATCATGGTGACTCTTCATTTTTTTTTTTTTTTTAATTTTTTTTTTTTCAACGTTTATTGGGACAGAGAGAGACAGAGCATGAACGGGGGAGGGGCAGAGAGAGAGGGAGACACAGAATCGGAAACCGGCTCCAGGCTCTGAGCCATCAGCCCAGAGCCTGACGCGGGGCTCGAACTCACGGACCGCGAGATCGTGACCTGGCTGAAGTCGGACGCTTAACCGACTGCGCCACCCAGGCGCCCCTCATGGTGACTCTTCAAAGCCATACCTCTCCAGTGTCATTTCCCCGCGCTCAGCCTGCTCTCACTGAACTATATCCTCTTCCCTAAGAAAGCTTCTTTCTCTGCACCTGTTTGAAATGCTCATCAACTCTCTTTTCTGACCAGTCCCACGCACCTTATATGTGAAGCTTGCTCTGAGAGCTGGTCCCTGCCTGTTTGTACCCCTTGGAGCATACTCAGTTGCTCCTTCCTTCCCCTCACTCCTGACCAGTCATCCCCATCTGGCTCTTAATAACATTTTCTAAGCCTGGGTCAGTACCTAATGCCTCTACCCCTGTTTCTTCCCTTGGAGTTGGTGTTTTCCTAAAAGCTAGAGCTGGGTGGTTTGAGTGTTCTTTGTCCTAGGAGCCCAAGGCAAGTCGTAGTAGCCAGAAGATGATGCAATGGCTGGCCACAAAGTCACCCAAAAAGGAAGACCCCAAAACACCCCAAAAGACAGAGTCAGATGTGCCCCAGTGGTCCAACCAGTTCCTGCAGAAGAGCCCACTGCCCACCAAGAGAGGTGCCACAGGACTCTTGGAGCGATGGCTGAAGCAAGAGGAGCCCGTGGCCAAGCGGCCGCACAACCAGTAACAGGACTTTCAGAGACTACTGCCACAATTTGCTGCATTAAATATTGTTGCTAGTGACAGGTGCTTGCGTTGTATGTTTGTGGATTTGCTTTGGGATGCGGTAGCACAGTAGTAGTTGACAGTTGTGGGTTTATGAATGAGTAGCTATCCTGCCTGCACCATGAACCCACAGGGGGGCAAATGGGCAGCCTAGAAAGAGGAGGGGCCACCACCATCAGGGCATAAGGGGCTTTATGGCTGTTGCCCTCTGCTGGTTTGACTGGTGGACCCTGCTGGCAATTCTCAGCCCTGACCTGGTACTGCTTACAAAAGGCTGTTTTCTGCCAGCTTTTGGAATTAAGTTCTTAAGACGTTGTCTTTTTTTCTGAATAAATTATATTTGATAAACTGTCTACATTCCAGAAAATGCTGCTGTTAGGGGAAGTTCTGGATCTTACTGTTTTCTCCTAGGATCAGTCCTAGGGAATGGACTTTGTCACAAATATGGAGCACTGGGGCTTTCTGTGGATAAAACTGCTTTCTTGGAAATAGTAAGAAGGTTCAGTGGGGGTTAGGGAATGTTCTTTATTGAGTCTGTTTATTCTTTTTTTTTTTTTTTCAACGTTTATTTATTTTTTTGGGACAGAGAGAGACAGAGCATGAACAGGGGAGGGGCAGAGAGAGAGGGAGACACAGAATCGGAAACAGGCTCCAGGCTCTGAGCCATCAGCCCAGAGCCCGACGCGGGGCTCGAACTCACGGACCGCGAGATCGTGACCTGGCTGAAGTCGGACGCTTAACCGACTGCGCCACCCAGGCGCCCCGAGTCTGTTTATTCTTAATACTTGTAAGTTTTGTGAATCCTTTAGCTTAAAAATTTTTAATGGTTTTTTATTTATTTTTGAGACCGAGCATGAGCAGGGGAGGGTTAGAGAGAGAGGGAGATACAGAATCCTTAGCAGGCTCCAGGCTCTGAGCTGTCAGCAGAACCTGATGCGGGGCTCAAACCCACCAGTTGTGAGATCATGACCTGGGCCAGAGTTGGGACGCTTAAACCAACTGAGCCACCCAGGCACCCCTGTGAATCCTTTAGCTTAAAACCAACCTGGGTGCTTGCCGAACACAGGGGACTAGGGGGAGAATGCTGTAGAGGCCAAAACTCTGTCCTAACCACAAGGAGCATAGGATCTGGTTGAGGAGAATACCCCATCACAGCCCACCAAGCCCTATCCAGATTCCCAGCCTCAGAGCAGAGCAGGGTACGAGGGTGACATGGACTTGGGGACCGGAGCCGGGCTGACCATCCGCCCCGGCCTGGTCAGAGTCCCTGTGATGTACTCTGCAGACTCCTCCTTGGCAGTGAACCTTCTTTATAATTATTTAGAATGGTTATCTATTAACCTCTCCCCACCCAGATCATTAGTTCTCTGAAAGCAGGGGCCGCTTTTTCACCGTTATTTTCTCCCAGTGTTAATGGTAGGTATTTAAGTACTTGTTAGGTGAATGTGAGCACTTACTACATGCCCCACCCTGGGCAAGAAGCGGCAGGCATTAGATAACCACCACACCTGGCAATTGTGGGTGTGGGTATGGGTGTGCGCGCGCGCCTAGCGCCTATATCCAAGGGACTGGAAAAGCCAGAGGGCCACTGTCAGTGGGGTCTCCAGCAAACCTCCGGGGAAGAAGAGGGTGCACGGACCATGGAGAACAAGCGCGGGGCGCTGGTGAGACAGGAGAGGCCCTCCTACAGGATGGGGCACAGAAGAATCTCCAGGAGCGCTAGGGCCGCTCCGCTACTTCCCCTATGGGGCATCAGGGAGACCAGGAGCACAAAACGCTGCGCTGGGCTTTGCACGGAAGTGGGCCGACGAGAGGAGGAGGAAGGGCGGGGCGGACCCATCGCGCTCCGCGGGTGGCAGGCTGCCCTGTACGATTGGACCACCGCGCAGACGCAGCCCGCGAGAGGCGGGGGCGCTGGCTCCAAGCCCTATGCAAATCAAGGATCGCAATTCTCACCAATCAGAGGGGAGCTCCGGCGCTGTTCCTGCTAATGAGAGCGCGCGGCACGCCTTCGAGTTGGGGTGGGGGCGGGGAGCTGCGCGGGGGCGGGGTACGGGCTAGTCGGTTGTCTCGGAACCCGGACAACAGCGGAGGCCCGCCTTCCCCCGCTCTCCAAATTCCTCTTTGGAGCGGCCTCCCTTCCGGCTGAGGGGGCGGAGTTGGCCCTGGGTGGTTAGCGCTCCGGCTTCCTGCACCCTGCAGGCGGGGGCGTTTTCACTGTGACCTCGTTTTGTTTGGGCTGATTTGCGTGGGCTTTTGGTTGTTAGTATTACCAAGAAATTTAAAAATACATGTAACTAACCAGAGATTGACTGTTACGACTATTTTGTCATATTTGCTTCAAATTTAATAAGCAACAAAAATGAAATTCCCTTTTTTATTACCATCTCCACTACTTGTCAGTGTTGGAAATCACTGTGGTGGGGACTCTTCTTTTTTTCTTTTTTCTTTTTTAATTTTTAGTTTTGAGGGAGAGAGAAGGAGCGGGGTAGGGCGAGAGAGAGAGAGAGACATGGAATCACAGAATCCAAAGCAGGCTCCAGGTTCTGAGCTGTCAGCACAGAGCCCAATGCAGGGTTTGAACCCACCAGAGATCATGACCAGAGCTGAAGTCAGATGACAGAATGTCCTCAGGCGCATGTATCCTTTTCACTCAGGTTTACTTGCAAATAAATGTGATGTTAAAAGCACATTCATGTACCTGATAACATATTTTGTGATTTTCAGGTTTTCAAAAATGGTTATCTTCTTGGGCATTTCGTTCTGCAAATTTTTTTTTTCTTGGCTGGGTCAACAGCCTTCATAGGTATTGCCAAATTGCTCTCCACAGATTTTCACTTATTTCAGGGACATATGAATCCCACCTTTTGCCAATACTTACCTTGCTTACTTACAGCAGTGGAACACCTCTTCTTGTCCTTTGCTTTTAAAGAATAAATCTGAGGGACAAAGAGGGCAGCCTTCACCTCCCAGTTGATGTGGCCAAGTCAGGCCAGGGCCCCAGCTGTTTCCTGGGGCAGGTGGGACAGCCCTAAATTCTGTCTGGCCCCTTGGCTGGGCCCCCCAATGGCAGCTCCCCTTACCCCTGCTTTACCTGTGCAGTGACCGGGCCTGGGTCAGGGCCTTAGGGGATTCTTCCCTCCTCTTGTAGCCTTAGAAGAGGCAGAGGGTCCCTAGTACTCCAGGTCCTAATAGACAGGTATCTGCCCGCATCTGCAATCCATCTAGATCCATCTCCTAGTACAAAGCCTGTGTTCCTAAAGCCCAACGTGCTTCATGTAGAGGTAGAACAGACTAGGGCAAGGGAAGGGCTTGGTCAAGAACACATAGCTAGGCATAGGTTAAGTTGAGGACATATCCAAGGGGCTCCTGACCTGGGAGAGGTGTTCAAACTTAGAGAGTCTGGACAAGCTCCTGTTTGCTGCTGCAAACACCCGGAGGATGGATTGGTGATGGGAACCAGAGATAGTAATGGGTGGCCTCAGACTCCTAGATCCTCATTCGGCCTGTATACCCTCCCTCCCCCTTCGCAGCCAGAGTGAGAAGCAAGTGGTGGGAAGGGTGGGAGGTCATTCCTTGGGGAAAGGAACTTTGCCTTAGGCTGTATAGGGGGGGGCCCAGTGAAAAATTGACAAAGTCCAGGGGTGTCTGTGTAGCTTAGTTAAGTGTCTGAATCTTGGTCTCAGCTCAGGTCATGGTCTCACAGTTTTGTGGGTTCAAGCCCCACATTGGGCACTGTGCTGACGGCATGGAGCCTGCCTGGGATTCTTTCTCCTCTCTCTCTGGCCCTCCCCCACTTGTGCGCACACGCTCTCTCTCTCTCTCTCTCAACATAAGTAAACAAAAAAAAAAGATGTTTAAAAAAAATTGACAGTGGCGCCGGGTGGCTACGTTGGTTGAGCGTCCGACTTTGGCTCAGGTCATGATCTTGCAGTTTGTGAGTTCAAGCCCCACGTCAGGTTCTGTGCTGACAGCTCGGAGCCTGGAGCCTGCTTCAGATTCTGTGTCTCCATCCCTCTGCCCCTTCCCCACTCACGCTCTGTCTCTCTGTCTCTTGAAAATAAATAAACGTTAAAAAATGTTTTAAAAAATTGACAAAGTCCTTTGGCTCCTCAGAGACTTCATTTGCCCATCTGTGAATCAGGAGAGTGGGTACTCACAGTTGAACTGCTAGGAGCCCAGAGCAACAGATGCTGTTTGTTGGGAGACCAGAACCTACCCCTGGGCTGGAGCCCCTCATGTAGAGAAAGATGAGAATCTCCCTTTGCATCCAGGACTCCAGGGAGGAGAGGCATGCTGCAGACTTCCCAGGCAACACCTGGTGGGCTGCAGAAGCTAGAGGAAGGACTATTTGGAGGAGCTTGGGGCATCAGTGAAAGGGGTTGGACGATTAAGCTGAACAACACGAAAAGTTTTCAAGGGCGGTCAAGCTGGGGCAGGGCCCCAAAGCCACACTCCTGGCCCCTAATGGAGGTAGCCAGAAGACAGGCACTGGGAGAGGTAAGAGGAGGTGGGGAAGAAAAAGGGCCTCTGGAAGCATGTGTCTGCACGGTGCATTGCACGAGGCTCTGGAATCCTAATGCCAATCCTGTATGGAGAGGGCGTAACCCCTGGTGCAGACTTGCGGTGGGGGCAGGCTGGGTCTCTGGCTTTCACCACTTTATAGCTTCCTTTGGCTTAGTTTCCATCACGGCACCACCATTCATTACTTCTTGTCTTGTGAAGCAGCCAGAAGGGGCCCTCACAGAAGATCAAGTTGGATGATCTCAAAAGGCGGGGAATCGTGGGCCCCCTGAGCTCACATGTGATTTTGTTTGGCCCATCTCGCATCTATTTGTTCTCAATTGTGGTAACATACACGTAACATAAAATTTGCCATCTTAACCATTTTGGTAGCACTACGTGTATTCACGTTGTCGCGCAACCGATCTCCGCAACGTTTGCATCTCGCAAAACTAAACTTTTGTGACCGGTAAACAACTCCCTTTTCTGTCCACTGTCCGGTCCCTGGCAACCAC